TGCAGCCTTCTCTAGCCCGAGCCCTCCCGCCATAGTCAGCCGCAGGCGCCGGTGCCGCCGTCTCGCCACGACCCTTCTGGTCAGGCCTGCACCGCCCCTGCCTGCCTTGCTCAGCCCAACACCCAAGCCCCTCACATCGCCCGTTCTCCCCCCGCTGCCCCCATCAGTCGCCTTCTTCCGAGGCCACCTTTTGTAGAGCACTTGCGGGGGAATGGGCAGGCCCTGGCGCCCCACGGAACGCCCCTTGCGTACTTCCCTCGCCGCTGTTTGCAGACGGTCACCATGAAGTTCAACCCCTTCGTGACCTCGGACCGCAGCAAGAACCGCAAACGCCACTTCAATGCCCCCTCGCACGTGCGCCGGAAGATCATGTCTTCCCCTCTGTCCAAGGAGCTGCGGCAGAAGTACAACGTGCGCTCCATGCCCATCCGAAAGGACGACGAGGTCCAGGTACGTCTCCCGCGGGCTCCAGGTACCCAGGTGCTTAGCGCGCGGGCTCCGCCGTTGCCCGGAAACGCCGGGGGTGCCTGGGCCTCGGGGGGTCATGACCTCACTTGCCCTCAGCACCCTGGCAAGTACTGTGACCCTGCTGATGTGTTAGACCGGAGATGGGGCCCAGACTCACCGGAGAGCACCTGCCCGGCCTAATGAGCAGTCAAGTTCAGTTCTCTAGTAGTAATTTATTCTAAAAAATAGTATGTCAGCCAAGCGACACTCTTGCTTTTTGATTCCATGTGAGAGTCTCTGGTCATATAGAGTGTGGTGGGCTTTCAGTGAAGCGTCGCTGTTCTCTTTTCAACCTGAGCATGGCCTTGGTAAGTAAGCTGAACAATCTAGGTAGACGTTTTAGGAGTATTGAGATTCTGCAGTTCTTTAGATGAGGTATTTCCTCTACGCTGATTAATGAACGTCACCTATGTTGTAGCTCCTGTTTAATAGGCTCTTGCTTTCAGAGAAACCTTAATCTGGTTGAGTTTTGAATAGAGTTGGAGTGTGAGCAGATTTTTGATATGTGAAAATAGCCCATGACATTTTAACTTAACATTAAAATTGTTTTGACTATAGAATATTTGTACTAATTGTAGAAATCTTAAAATTTGGAAGAATTTAAATTTTAAAAATAGTCACCTGTAATCCTACTTCGTGCCTCCTGGCAGCCGTTATCAATGTTTGGATTCATTTCAGTCTCATCATGTTAGGTACCATATACATGAAATATATACATACAAGATTCAGATTCTGACTACATTCTATATATAGCTTTGTATTCTCCTTTTTTCTCTAAAGGTTATATCTTGAGCATTTTCCTAGGTCATAAATTATGTTTTGAAAACATGGGTTTTAAATGGTTGTGTGAGCCTCAGTATATCTTCAACCATTCTTTGTTTACGACTTCAGAGTGACAGTATTTTTTATATAGTTGACATATGGCATTATATTAGTTTTAGGTGTACAGTGGTTTTATCTTTAATCTCAGGATTAGTTCTGTGATGGCCATTCTAGCTCAAGGAGTTTTTTGTTCTTCAGACATGAAAAGGAAAAAATTCAGGTAGAGAAATTCTACCTGCCTTAGAATAACCCAAAGCAGATTTATAACAAAAAATAGCAGACCTTTGACCACCAGGATTTATCTGCTTTTGTACAAAAGTTGTATGTTAGCCTATGCATTCCTGATAGTGTCCTCACTATGATGTTCATGAATTAGAAATGGGGGGGTTCTGTCTTTTGTATTTTCTCTCAGGTGGTTCGAGGACACTACAAAGGTCAGCAGATCGGCAAGGTAGTACAGGTGTACAGAAAGAAATATGTCATCTACATCGAGCGGGTGCAGCGTGAGAAGGCTAATGGCACAACTGTCCACGTGGGCATTCACCCGAGCAAGGTATAGCCCGGGACTGGGCAGTGGTAGCAGCCACATAGCGTAGTGCAGCTGTTAGATGTTGACGTGTTGGTCCTCTTTACACAGGTGGCCCTAGCAAGGATCCCCTGAGGGAGGTCAGGCAGGCTTGATTGAGGCACTGGCTTAGTGATATCAGGGACCCAGATTCTTTTCTTATCTGTTTTGTCATCCTTGGTGAAGGCTGTCTTCAAGCAGGTAGCAAGGGCTTCCCGGCATTCCAGACCTCACTTCCCTACTAGATGATGTCCAGAGGGAGAACAGAGACCATTTCTTCCTGTGGCCCTCATACCCACCTAGTGGGATATGCTGTTCTTCCCTTGCACCCCCACTTTATATTCTGTATTGTAGGGTCTCTCCCCCAGAGTTTCAAATCCTTAAGGCAGAATAGTTGGGCCCCTACCTCATGATCTCTGCATTACCCAGTAGCTGGCAGGAATGCAGAGGTTTCTTAATGCATTTTGCCAACCAAGGGAGGTATACAAACCAGAAAGGTGTTGGTAGCATAATTTTCCCAACTCAAATGATATTTCATATCACTAAACTCTAAATGGTTTCCGAAGTCCTCAGGACTTAGGGGAGTAGGAGGTTGGGTAGCAGAAAAAACCTAAGCTGCGATTGTTGAGGGAACCTCTGCCATACAAACTAACCATGGCTATAAATCCTTTCCACTTAAAAAGCTTAAGGATCTGTTTGTTTTCTCATTCCTAATAGGTGGTTATCACCAGGCTAAAGCTGGACAAAGATCGGAAAAAAATTCTCGAACGCAAAGCCAAGTCTCGACAAGTTGGAAAAGAGAAAGGCAAATATAAGGAAGAACTTATTGAGAAAATGCAGGAGTAAATATAACCTGTTGTGCAACCACAGTGTAGCTGTAGGTTTTTAGCCTGGTGTGTTCTCCTTTGAAACTTTTCAAGGTGTTTCTGGAATATTCCATTTCCTTCCTGGTTTATTATTGATATGTGGCTTTGTAAGTCTGTTGTTGTTTTGATTAATTTTATGAATAAAAATTGGAAATGTTTCTTAATTCCAAGTGAACTTTGCATTGTTTTATAGATAACGCCCATCTTATTATCAATTCCCATCTGCTATTTCATATGTTTAATCTGCACACCAGCAGAATAGCAGTGGTCAGATGGCCCTGCTCCTGCCTGGACCCTCATGCTGATGGGGTGGACAGGATAGGGCTGCTCCCTGATACAGGACTTTGTTCCCCTCGGCGGCGGTCATGATGTGAACTGAAACACACAGGCTCCACTGGGCAGCTGGTGTGTTTTGCACACCCATGTCTCAGGTCTATGGGATTGCCCTCTGACTAGCTTCCTTTCCCTCATGCTCTAACCAAACCAAATGGCGTGCAGCTCCCTAGCTGGGCTGCCCTGCCCAAGGTCTTGACTTTGCAAGTGCCATTTCCATGTGACTAAACTGTCCCTCCTCTCTCCTGGGGCTAACTCAGAAAACTGATGGCCTATAGGCAAGGATCAACTCACAGACAGATTTTGTTTGTCCTGTTGCTTTTCATGATTAAAAAAATTAATTTCCAACATTTAAAACTTAGATCCACAGAGAAATCCAGGTCTTGTGCTTCCTCTGGCTGCACGGGGCCCTGGTCCTGAACAGCATCAGTTGTGTGGAGCCGGGGGCTGGCTGCTTCCTTTCCAGCTCCCTCCACTCCTGTACCCTAAGTGCCTGGCCCCCACTGGCATCTGAGTTTTAGATTCCACATCTAACTTATAATTACTCTTCAAGATTTAGCTCCAGGGCCACATCTGAAATCCTGCCTTTCCCTTGTGATAATCAATCTGTTGATTAAAATGCATCAGGTAAAACAGAAAATTGTGGGTTAGGATATATCCATCATTTATACAGTATATGAATAGAGTACGTACCCCACGCAGCAGCTATGCTATTAGCATGCTAAGCTATATGTCCAGTCAGTACAATGAGGTCAACCAGTAAGGTCTGTAGTTTGTTCTCATTTGAGATCTGTCTTTATTCTCAACCAACGCTTAGGACCCCAAAAGTTGCATGAAAGTCAGATTTCATACTAGATTAAGTTTATTTTAAGGATGACATACTCTTTTTTCTTTTTTTAATTGATTTGAGAGGGAAACATTGATTTGTTCCACTTATTTATGCATTCACTGGTTGATTCTTATATGTGCCCTGAGTGGGGATTGAACTCACAACCTTGGGGTATAGGAATGACACTCACTAACTGAGCTACCCAGCCAGGGCAGGACAACATATTCTGATGCCTGGTGTGAGCCCTAGTCTCCAGCCAATACTGTTAAAAGTACGATATTTCCTAGTAATCAGACTTGGCTTATTTTCAGCAACTCCTTCAATACAAGTGATATAGATAAGCGCTTTGAGAGCTGATTACTTGAGGTACTGCCTGTAAAGCAGAGTTGAGCGAACTGTAGCTATTGTCTTGTAAAGGAGAATGGAAGTGGTTTGCCCATGCAGAGGAAAAAGTTTTGCCCATGCAGAGGAAAAAGTTTTTCTCTAGGGAGTTCAGACAAATGCTGGTTCTTGAATGAAGGGGCGGGTTTAAGGGCAGCAGTATTGTGTTTTGGCTGCTGCAGGAAATAGGGGCTGGAGAATGCCAGCTGGGTGGGCCTGCCTATCAAGGCTCAGGCCCTGGGGTTTTAGCGTGTTTCCTGAAATGACTGAATTAAACATTTTCCTGCTGACCTTTTCATCAGATTTGCAGATGTCCATTCACTTGAGTGAGTCCCCTTGTGCTATTTTGGGAAGACTCCAAACTTTGAAACTTCAGACAACTGCTGCTGAATGCCTGCTTTCATGCTGCACTCAGACCTGAGATGTTCAGCCACAGAGCTGTCATGGGAGATGGGGAGGCAGCGAATCTTCCGACGACCAGACAGAACTCTCCTAACCAGGAGTCCCCCGGACTCTGCTGATGCAGCGGGCATCGAGCAGTTCCCATCTGGTGGTGGCTTGGGTCTTTGTTCATTGTTCTTTTAAATTAGTGTTTTGTAAAGAAGGAATAGTTATATATGGCACAGCATAAAAAGGTACAAAAGGTATACAGTGGAAAGTAAGCTTGCTCATCACTTTGACTTTCAGGCTCTCAATTCTCCCCAGAGGCAGCTACTGTTTCCAGTTTCTTTTGTATCCTTCCAGAAATATTCTATGCAAATACAATTGGGTGTTTACTAAAGTTTGATCCATAAAGAAGTCTTCATGAGGAAGGCAGGTCGTCCAGATTGAAACAATGTGAGGCTGATTTATTGCCTGAACACCTTAATTGAAGTATGAACATGCAGCCCTGGCTGATGTAGCTCAGTTGGTTGGAGCACCATCCCATACACCAAAAGGTAGTGGGCTTGATACCTGGTTGGGAGCATGTGGGG